GAGAGAGAGAGAGAGAGAGAGATATCATCGGATCACCGCATTTACAACGCGGATCAGATGAGATCGTCACTGTCTCAGCCGACGACGACGACTGAAATGCTCTTCGTTTTGATAAAGCTGACGATGGGATCTGCCCGTCCCGGGCCGGAGGGGACGGACGGGCGCTCCTTGTCAAACCACACTGTCTGCGCGCGCTGCAGGCTGTAGGCTCCGAGAGAATCATGGCTAATCGGGGCGCCGGATCTCGGAGGCGATCGCAGGAGCAGTGATCGCTGCTCGCTAATTAATCCGAGCACTGCCGCCGCGACGTAATGCAGGCGTACATGACACTCCACGTCCAAATTACGCTTGATCATCACTACGTACCAAATAGCAATGCGGCAGGGGCCGTGGTAGTACAATATATACAGTGTGATGGGTGCTCCTGCTTCGGACAGGGAGCGAAAGACGACGCATCATCTCGCAGGTTTAGGCCTCTTCTGGTTCATAGGATAGGATTATCATAGGAATAGAGATTTTGTAGGAAATGAGATGGCATGTATCTTAAATCCTATGAGTGAGAATAGGAAACGAGATGTTATTTGGTTGACATCAAAGGAATTTTTCCTATGAACTGTGGAGGATAGGAACCAATCCTATGTAGAAATAGGAATCTATTCCTATGAACCAAAGGGCTCTAAAGGAAAAAAATCCAATAAGAATCCTATCCTCTAAAATTTCTATGAAATTCCTCCAAACCAAAGGAGGCCTTAGCAGGGTCACCATGACGGCTCCGACTCGTACCCGGAAACCCTTTTTTTAATACTCGATCTGTTTTAAATTACTCGTCGTGGTTTTAGTTCAAATTTGAACTGAAGAACGAAGGGAGTATATGGCAAGTTAAGTGTACTTCATTATGTATCGATCATTATATGGGCGATCAGATTTGGTGCTGCGTGCGCGTGTTGCTCGTGATCATGGGCGGGCACGCTATTACCTTAATCATTCTTCGTCCGTCCTGTTCTTTTCCGTTTGCAAGGGACGTGCATGCCGGATTGGAGGAAGAGTGGGCTGAAATAATGTCGTGTTAGCTTGGAGGCAAAGGCTCGGAGGGCGTCACATTCGGAGAAAAGTTGTGGATTAGAGAGGAGGGACGACGGCCACGGCAGCAAGGTCACACGTTTCGCTAGCATGGGCTGTTCGTTTCTATGTGTGGTTTCCAAGGACGACCATGCGTTACGTGGCTAGCCATGTCCGTTCAGACAGCCAGCCGATGATAACCTATCCCTGTGGGTATGGCTATACCTTTGCCTGTTGACATCACATCTAATATTGATATATTTCCAAAAAAGTTTCATAAACTTTTCATCAAAGTTCAGACAAGTTGTTTATAAAGTTCTTCGGTCCCAAATACATTTTCTAGGAAAGTTCTTTAATATTTCTAACAAAGTGCAGAAAACCTATTTATAAAGTTCTCCAGCTCCTGGTCCTGTTTATTTATCACTTGCAAATGAAAATGAAAGTTCTTCACTATGCCCAGCAAAGTTCCTCACTAAAAACATAGATAATCTTCTAAAAAACCATAGTTCAATTCCAGTTAAAAAAATGTGTAACAAAATTATCCAAACCTTATCTTGTTCTGAAGATCTTGGCGTCGGGAGTTCAAATATATATAAAGTTTTAAAAACAAATTTTGATTAAACTATCAAAAGACAACTAAAAGTAACAAAGTTTTTGAAGAGAGAAAAGACAACCTAGCCATGCATGTGTACTGTAGCCATGCATGTGTCAGTCTATGGGAAAGAAAAGAGAGGCAGAGAGGCATGCACATGCAAAAGGCCACGATCCATGCATTTGAACAGCGGCTGTGATTCGGGTTGCGCGCACAACCAGTTAGAGAACGCCTTATTCGACAGGTGAGGTATCTGAATACTAATAAGAATATACCTCTACATGGTATATTCTCAGAAAACTTTGTCAATGTCGAAACTCGGAATATTTGGTCATCCATATGCGCTGTGTGATTCTTCAGTACGCGTGCACATTGAACCCTGCGTTCGTATAATGAACAATGATCAAAACTGAACCAACCAGTACAAAAGTCACTGTGTGCATTTAAAAACCGAACTAAAAAACCATACCGAAAATAAACCGATCCGAACCATTTGAACTTTGCCTTTTTATGGTATATACCTAACCGAATAAACCGAAGTAAAAAATAATTTTATATTTCTTGTGATGAACAACCATACAAGTTGTCATTTTTCTTGTACATGAGTCAAATTCACTACTAAGAACATTTTTTTTTTCTTGTAACATAGTCATTTTTTGCTCTTTTTAAAATGCTAAGCACGTCCATAACCATCAACAGATGAATCAATGCATGCATATAGCAATGCCCTATACTTATATATATAGTTATATACCATTTGTGTAAAACAGTAGTATGTGCTTTGAGTCATAAATTTGCAAATTATTATTACGTCATTTTCAAATTCGCGTCGACTTTGGTTATCATGGTATATGCTGAAACCATACCGAAATAATTTCATATATACCGAAACCGAACCGTATTTTAGTTTCATATCATATTTAATGAAGTATTAATACCGTACAAACCAAAAACATATAAACCGAACCATGTAAACCGAATAAAGCGAACGCACAGAGTGCAGTACAAGAGAAGAGAAGGATGATTGTCTGCTCAATCAAAGCCATTTTTTGGTGTACCTCAAACACGTGATTAGCTGGTACTGCACTGCACCGGATGAGCATCGACCGATCATGCGTTGCGTTGCGTTGGGCCCATCCGGAAGGGAAGGCGACCTCCATTAATCCCCTCCCCGGCCGCTGCTGCTGCTGCTCCACCATACCAACCCGACGCCGCCGCCGCCGATGGCCCCGTTCGTGGCTGGCGTGATGCCGATCCCCCTCCTAACAAGCAATGCGGTGTCTCATCTCTCCGTAAGCAAGCGTGGCGGAGGCGATCCGCGCGCACGTCCCCGTCGTCGGAAGGCAATTCACCATTAGGTTTTACTACTACAGTTTATTACCGCTGCTGCTGCCGCTCTACGCGTGGTGCGGCGGCGCAGGGGAGGTCGACAGGTGGCCATGCATGGCCCGGGCCGGATCGGGAGCCTTGGCGGGGTGGGGGCGGCGGGGAGCCAGGGCTGCCGCTGCGTTCAGGGACGGGCCGCTCCTCCTGTGCCGATCGGCGGACTGTCCCTCCCCGCCGCCCCCACCATGATGTCGCCGATGGCCGGCCCCCGGCCGAGAGCGACGTACGGCGCCGCGGTCCTCGCGTCGCGTGGTACCCCCGCGCCGTGCCTACCTGGCGGCTGGTCCCCGTCCGTGCATGCATGCATCCATCGCTCGGTGTCATCTCCGGATACGACTCCGGGTCGAGACACGCGCGCGGGCGCGCTCCCGTCGCCGTCGGCCTCGCCGCCTCGATCGCCGGCCGGCCGGCCACCGCTGCCTGCCCGATCCCGTCGGCGAGGCAGGCCCCGGCTCGTGGGACTCGCTCGGGCAGGGCGCGCGCCGGACGCCGGTACGGTCATGGCCGATGACAACTGTTGAGAATAGGGCGTATGTGTCGTGTGGGCCGTGGTGGATAGATAGATCATGCAAGTGATGGTGCCGTCGCTTCCATGATCGATCGGGGCTCGTCCAGAT